CAGATATTTATTATACTATACTTGTTACAAACTACTATAAGATATTAAAATTGCTTTAAATCGATAAAATCAACGAAATAGCTATAAATTGCTAAATATGCCTGGTGACATGGTTAAAATTATAATAGATAATATTTATAATAAAAGAGTACCTAAACCTAACAATCTCCGTCCTGGCTATGATATGAAACATGTTTTTAACTATCGACCTCAAACTGATGACTATTGCTATAAAAAAGTGGTTGAAATAGAAAAAGAATATGATTATTTATCTATTATTAGGCCTCGTGAAACACCTCAGCAATGGGCTAATCATGTAAGAGGTCCTCTACAAGAACTACTTTCTAAGCAAGAATATAGTGTTTATCATGTATTCTGCCTCTTTGCCTCATTTGGAGAAGGAATAACCAAGGCGTATTACAACCATGTCAATGGTGAGTTAATAGATATTCCATATGAATATCGCAGGCCTAGAGTTCACAAGAGTGAAATGGCTATTTGTTTCAAATGCTGGAAATTGGTAAAGATCACTAAAGTAAAACTGAAAAAAGTATATTTTGATAGATATCGCAGATGGAGTTATAAAGTTGAGTCTGAAGATTTGATAAAGAATCATTAGAATTACTCTTGCTTCGCAACTAAAACTAAAAAGGCTCCTTTGGAACTAGATAAATCATATTCGTTGACTAGTCCCAAGAAAACAACTTCTTCTATGCAATGTAGTGTAAGTGTGCCCAGCATAATTAATACTAATAGACCCGGGAAGGGAAATACAAACAAATTATTTATCTCGTCTCTCTTTGCAAAACAAATTAATTTACTTCCATTTCATCTTAATCTACCCAAAGATACTGTATTAAGATTGAAAGATGGAACAGAAATTACAATTGTTTATCTGACTGATTCTGAGAAATAGTTTAATTATAGATTATTACTTTCGACTAAATAATATAATTTATTTTTTTAAAATATGATCAAAGTGATATAATAACTATTTTTTTCTGACATTAATTAATAATATATTTACTCACCACAATGCATGTAGGCGTGTATGAAATGAGAAAATGCGATATAGATGCAAAAAGAAGCAATAGCAAACTTAGGTAGCAAATCATAAAAGAAAGGCATCTGGATATACAACTAGAAATGAAGGTAACTGTATAATTATATTATATAAAAATAGCAGAAGCCTTTATTTTTCAAGATATGTTCTCGGGAATAGTGAAAGCATCTAGATGTGAATAAATATATTCTTGATGGGTATATATAACAGAAAAAAGCTGGCATCTACAAAGTCAGATTCTATTCATTAGTGAGAGGTACATTCCAACTGACGCATATCCTGTGTGGATACTCGTGGGGTACAGTTAAATCGAAAACAATGAATTTTTGCTCACATAAATACTTGTCAATAATTTTAATCTTACTACGCCAGTTATTGGCATATTGACGCACAATTCTGACTAGTTCATCTGTAGTACATGACCCATTAAACAAACAAACATGTGTACGATTTTTTCGTATTATTTTGGGACAGTCAAAGTAACTCTGAGATATATATATCAAACTGATGTTATAATGTCGTCCTTCAACAAAATAAGGAATAATTTTCTCCTGCACTTTTTTTGGATCAGCACATACATCTTCGAATATAGCTACTGTACCTCTATTGGGAGAAAATGAATCTACTTTAGGGATTTTATCGGGTTTCAAAGCTCGGAATATAATATTTTCACGGTATGACTTCGAATTATTCGCAATTATCTGATACACTGATTTGAGGTATAAGTATTTCAGCTCCTTAAGATTATAGCCGATCAAGACCAAATCATCACACTTTATATAACATGTTCCTTCTTTTTTGACATTAAATATTCGATAAAGTTTATCTTCAAGCATGAGATTAAGAACTTCATTAGTTTTCCTTGAATTAGTACGACCTGAAATTAGAAGAGTAAAAGGCCATTGAGGCGTACTAGAATGATCATTATATTTTTGAGCATCTTTAATCTCATCAATGTGGTATATTAGCCTATCAACTGGCTCAAGCTTTTTTATTTTCATGTCAAACTAAGTATTAATAATAATATACTAAAAATAATTTTAATCCTTAGCTTTATCCAAGAATCCTTTCTCAATTAGCATATGCTTGATATAAGGAAAAAGGTCATATGTATAAGGCACTTCGATAAGACATATACCTTGGTTCTTGCATATATCCCGCTTCTTTTGATCACGCATTTTTTGTGATTTCAAATTTTCACTCTCTCTATGATATAGACTATTGTGATGATAGTGTTGGGGGCCCTGAAATTCAAACGCAAGACATAATTCCTCATTATACCCATCGAGATGCATCCCATCTAAAAAAAATTCGACCTATGTGGTAAAAATTTCTTACCTAGTAGATCCTCAAAAATATATCGGCATTGACATTCACTGCTTGAATGGTGACATAGAGGACACTACTCGGATTTTTTCATACTATATTTTAGCAGATACTCCCACTGATACGCATCATTTTCACAGGACCAAAGATAAACATTATGACCATTTATTCACCCAGTTTTCCCAAAATATTGGCCACCACGCTTTTTGGCAAAATCTTCAGCTTGAGCTATCTCATTATTAGAAGCATAAACGAAATATACCAATAATATACTTTGAGGTGGGTACTCAACCTTTTCTGGATTAACTATTAATATAAGTTCTTCTCGCACAAACTCGCGAGAAGAGGAATATTCTCCATCAAGATAATATAAAACTGGTTCGTTCTTTGTTACAACAATTTTTCTAATTTTAAATAAAGTTGGACTCCATATCATGTCTGTTGCATGCTTTTGATTTTCCATACCCCCTTTCCATTTTGCATTGGCAAGTAAGTAACGAACAGTATCACCTTTCTTTAATTTTGCTTCATCTTTTTCAACTGGGCGTTTATATTTTGCGGATGGTCTAGATTCTACACATTCTAATGCAATAGCTTTCACAGACTCGAGCCCCCACTTTTCTGATCCTGGTTCTTGAATAAGACATATGGAGTAGTTATTTAGATAGTCTATAACTTCTGGTAAAAATCTAACACATGCTCTTATTAATTTAGGATCAGAAGTTATCGATTTAATAGCATATTGGGTCTTATACAGAATTTTTGAGAGTGTCTGATTGAAACACTCTACAAATGCAAGACCTCGATGAGAATATGGACCAATCACTCGAATTGTGACACTATGCTCTTGCAATAATCTGGAGGTCTCACCCATAAATTCACGACCCCCATCACATTGTAAAAGCTTTGGCCATGTCAATAGATTATTTTGATTACCAAATACTTTCCTAAAAGCTTTAGCAACCTCAGAACTTTTCTTTGATCTAAGAGGAACTGAAGCTTTATATCGGGAGGCACAGTCTATAATGTTAAGTACTGCTTTATATTTTTTACCTCTATAGTGGTCATGAGTGAGAAACAGTATATCGCATTGATGAATGCAATTAGAGCATGTTATTCGTCCGTAGCTAATTCTAGGAATGTATTTTGGAGAAGTTTTATTTGTTTGGTATGACTCCTGATTTTCTAAAAAATCTTTGCATTCACTTAGACGAAATCGATACCCTCTTTTTTACATGCATCTCTCAGGGATTTAAGATTAGAATAATACCCAGTTGGGTAATAATATATATCTCACATTATAAGATTTGTTTCGATTCTCTGGGCCTCTTTTGGATCGATATAAATAACTGGTTTTCCCATTCCTTTGTTTTATTATAGTGATAAAAAACAATGGACGAGTTACAACAAATCAACCAAGAGCTTTATGAAGCAGTGACGCAATTAGCAGAATCAAATAGGAATTTTGAACAGCGTCTATATACCTTAGAAAGAATTATCGGCATACGGGAGGAAAGAATACGATTTCTTGAAGAAGAGTTAAATAACACTATCGAGCTTTCTAGACAAGACAAAGAAGAATTATTAGAAGAAATTTCAAAATTAAAAAGAATTGTTCACCAAGTCGAGGAAGAAAATAAGAAGAAAGACAGAAATTTCTAATAAAGATAAATTGATATTAGAATTCGATGAGCGCGAGACAAAATTAAAAACCCGAATACGAAAGATATCAAACCTGCGGGTAATACTTCCAAAGCACAAGATTATACAACCAGATTAGTAGATGAGAATGAACAGCTTAAATGAGAAATAAATACAATAAGGGCTAATCAAATAAATAGGATTAATAAAATAAATCAACAAAAAAATCGTATTACAGACCTGCTTTGTTAAAATTTTGCATTAGCATTATTAAGATATCGAGATAGATTAGAACTTAGAAATACACAAGAGGCTTTACAAAACGCACAGGCATAGAATTTTGGCGAAAATGAATCCGATTCTGATGAAAATTCTCTAGACTTGTATAATTCTGATGATAATATGGGTACAATAGCTGAATTGGCTAATGCTATAGACCGATCCCTAGAAAATACAACAATATGTAGAACCATTTTAACAAATCAAATTAAAAGATCAACTAGGGCAATTCGACGTAAATACACTAACCTGCAACAAGATCTGGTAAACATACGATGGGACCGAGATACATACAGACAGGAGTGAGACCAGGCATTGCTTGATCTTCAGCAATTGCGAACTAATACACAAAACCAAGTGAAGATAATATGGCAAGAAAACAAACCTGCATCAGTGAATTGCTATGTGAAAATTTTGCCTTACAAATCTTATATCGACGAAATGCTCACCACCTACAGCAATGCAGAACCGATAAAGGTTTGTTAGAATATAATAGAGACAGACTCTATGAGCGATATGAAAAATAGAAAAATAAGACCCATACAGAACGCCAGAATATTTTAAATTTAAATCAACAAATTTTTGCGCTACAGAATAACCCACCTAATATACAACGAATAGGAATGGTAGGATATAGACCCCAATATTTCATGGTTATCCTGGAGAAGATCCAGAGGATTGGCTTAGAGAGATGCAAAGATATATAGTAGCTAGTCGAATAAATGTTGCACCTGGTGTAGGTCAGGTCGCTAGAAGAGAAGAGACATTTGGATTGGTAATATCATGTCTTGCAGGCCCTGCATTGAATTGGTATAATACCCGCATTAAGGGCAAAAATTGGAGATGTAATAATCTCTCAGATAACTTAGGTGTAGCTACTTTAACTACTGTTTGAGGAATAGGTGCTGGAAATGGTGGTAATCAGATTGGTGGTTTGAATACTGCAAGAGAATTTCGTAACAAAGCTGGAGCAGAAATTGGTAGAATTAGAGCAGGTGTTGCAACTGGTGCTGATATTATTCCGAATAGAACATGGGATGAAGACTGGTCTATAGCCAGTGGTGAACCTACAGATAATGCACTAGTCGCACCAAATGCTGGCAGAGGTTTTCCTGCTGTTACAATTGCTCCTGGTATTAAGCTTGGGCAACTCCTTTATCTATTTAGTACTTCTTATACGATGGTTAAACACTTAAAACAAATGGCAGTTTTTGGTCAACTTATGCAAAGAGATATGGGTGTTGAAGAGTTCTCCACTCGAATCAAAAAGGTTGGTAAATTGGCTGGAATGTCACCTGAACAACAAAGAGAGCAATTTATTTGTGGCTTAAATCCTATGAACCAATATAATATTCGAATGATGGCTAAATTTGAGGATACTCAGGAAAATATCACAAGAGCCTTAGCTGAAGCGGAAAAATTTACACTTTTTCAAAGAAATGCACCATCTTCTCTTCTTGTTTTTCCGGCAGCCAACCCTACATAGACACTAACAAATCAGGAATGACTAGAACTGAAATCCTGGATTTGATAAAAACTGCAATAGCACCCTCAGAGTCTCAAACAGCTCAACAAAATGCTGATTTGCAGTCTACCATTAAATCTTTGCAAGAGACTATGTCTCGAGCAACTAAAACTCTAGATAATAGTAAAAAATCATCTAAGAAGAGAGCGGAAAATACTGCCATTAATTGCTTTTTAAGTGATTTACTAAGAAAAAATCCAGATAAACACCCTACCGATGAATATGATCATGATCCTATAGAAGATATTTCAGATAGTTTAGCAGGATTAATATTAAATAGTGTTATAAAAACTGCTGTTAGACGTGCTGTTAAGAAATCATCAGGTCACAAATGCTTCATCTGCGAAAGATCTGAACATAATTCCCGAAATTGCTCTAGAAAGAAGAAAAAGAGAAGTAAGAAGTCTAAAAAGGGTAAGGTTAATATCACTACCGTAGATTCGAATTCGGATTCAGATACTTCTTCTTCTAATACTTCTTCTAGTGATAGTTCTGACTCTGATAGAAGTTCAGAAGATTTCTCCGATTCTGAAGGTGATATCACCATTAACATAGCTAAGTCAAAAAAAAAATGAAGCAGGATTCTAGCTCCATGAAATCATCTCTTAAAAAGATGTTTAGCGCCAAACCGAGAGAAATTCCACTAGAGGAAACTATTCGTAAAATCCTCCAAAGCGAACTTAAATTAATTTTTCCTGCATATTTTTCCCAAGACTCTAGTCCTGTTGTGCCCAAACAGATAGTTTCCATACAGGAGAAGATAAAATCTCAAAACGACACACCATCATTTTTCAAAGATTCAACTCCGGATGAATCCAGTTTAGAGGAGGAAGACTATTTGGATAGTCCGATGGAAATTGATTTCGTTAAGAAGAAGGAGCCCCCACAAGCGTTGCAACTGTGAAATGTAAAATTAAGTGCTTAAAAATCCCCGCTATGACCCTTGATTCTGGAGCAAAGCTTCCTATAGTAACCGAAAATATTGTTGATCGTATAAAGGCTAAAATTGATAAGTCTGAAACACATGATCTCAGTAGCATCACTACCGTTCCAGTTGAATCTATTGGAGTGGTTCGTAATTTACCTATTACTCTAGCTCCTGGACTTACTATTCATGAAGATTTTGTTGTTGTTAGATATAACAAGCCAACCCTAATATTTTCTAACCAGCTTTTAAAGAAATATAATTGCGCCATGGATTGGGGTAAAAACGAATTAAAGTTCCCTCATAATGGAAAGGATTATATCATTCCGGTCACTATGCATAAAGTCAAGAACAAGCTCGAGGTGAATTGTGCGAATATTACTCCCGAATCTGATAATTTCTCGACTTTGGATAATATATCACAGGACTCACAGGAGTTAAATAGGTATGATGATGTATTAAAAAAAACGCATGAGCTATAAGGAGCTTAAAAAAATATTGTATGATATTCTCATTTCCAAAGCTAAATTAATTGAGATTAATAAAAACCTCTGATTTCTTTTTCCTTGTTAACTAGATATTCTAGCTTAGCAAAGTGAGTTAAGAGCAAAAAGCTTTTCCGATTTACACATAGACTCCTCTGATTCTATACGATCTTTTTTAATCGAAGTAATTAGTTCATATAAGACATCTAGTAAGGAGTTTTGGCAAGGACCCCCAGCCGAAATTTTAGATAAGTTAGAATTTCGAATGGATCCAGACTTTAACAGTTTTTTTTTCTTTTTTTGCTTTTCTTGCACATTCATCTCAGCAGATGATGGTACCAGAGGGACCCCCACAATCTCAGATGATTCTTTTGGAGTTGACTCGTTAGATGCTTCGCAAGGTTGTTTAGCATGAACTTCTAAACCATTCTCCGAAGAGATAGATTGTGCTTTTCTAAGCTCCTCATAAAAGTGGTTTCCATTTTGCTGAAAACGCTTACAATCGTTCTATATATCATAAACACGATTTTTATTAATATAGTACTTCTTTACTATCATATATACTGGAACTTTATTTTTGAGGCATCTAATTTCTTTGATCTGTTCAGATGTTAAAACATTTGCACCTCGCCGATAATGAGTTTTTAAAATTGAGGTAGACATAGTCTTCTGATATTTTTTAGACGATGTATTTAGATGCATAAAAAATATTAGGCATTAATATTTATTGTTTTAGATGGATAATAAAAATAAGAATTCAATATTTATTATTTTAGGATGAGAGGGAATATTAGAAAGCATAATTTATTGTTTTAGGTGGATAGAATACATTCTAATACGCTATCTAAAATAATAATAAAACCGATTGATAACCTTCGTGTTTATTTTTTATTTATTGTGATTATTCTCTAACATAAAATTTGAAAGTTTTTTTTACATGTTTATAGCTAATGTAAATAAATGGGAACATATGATCTTGGAAAAGAGATACGTTGCATCTTACAAGACTCATCCAAGATACGAGATTATAATGCTAAATTGCGGAATGAATACATGAAGATCAATGATGAGACCAGATGGTTGAAGGTTGAAAATTCTAAACTTTTTTCCCAATATGCTTGCAATTTCTGTTCTGCCTTCTATAACTTCTAAATTTCTTTCCATTTCTGGTGACCTAATGCTGATTTCTAGTCTTTTAGCTTCTCTAACTATTTTGTAGCATAAATTGTTTTTGATATCTATTTGCTCTATCCTCTGCAAACTAAGATCTAAGATGCATTTGCTGCTTTTAAGATTCAGTTGCACTTGCATAATTCTTAGCCACATAGCTCGGCCTAAATCTTGTTTTTTGTTTAACCTAGCAGTTAGTTCTGTGATATGGTGCGCTAGTTGATTCTGCCAAATTGTTTTTATTCCCACTATGTTTCGGTATGCCATAGCTGCATTTAGCATTGTATATGTCATCCTCGCCTTGTTCTTAATTAGCATAAATATTGGGCTCTGAAGTCTGTCACAAACTTCTTTTGGGAGGATATAGAGCTGACTACTGTATTCTATTCTTGGTATCAGCACTCTGTTATTAATGTATTGCATATGTGCTAGGGATGTTTTCTTCTTTTTAAGCCTCTTTACCATCGCCTGTACTTCTTTTTTGATGATCTCGCACATATACTTGTGTTTTGATTTTTCAGATATCCAAATTCCAAGATATCTTGTTAGTTCTTCAGGCTCACCAATTCTTTTTTTGGTCCAAATCTTATTCCATTATCTGCTATTTTCTGACTTGCTGGGAAGAGCACCACCAGCTCTGACTTCTTCGTATTTATTTCTATATCGTTGATTTCAAAGAACTCATTTGCTATATCTGTAATCTTGTCTAGCTTTTTCTTATTTCTTGCAATGTAAACTGTATGCGAGTACTGGCACTCTTATATCTTGTATTTCTACTATGTTTCTACTTATGTCTTTAGGCCATATTACTTCTATAGTGTAGCCAGTTTCTTTGCATTCTTGTATCTGTGCCAGTAGCGAATCATAAAATATCCTCCAAACTAGAGGAAAGATTACTTCTCCTTGATCTATGCCGTCCCTAGCTTTGAATCTTTCTGTATTTCCGTGCCCTGTAATTACCTCCATTTCTCTGTTTTCATATAGATTTATTATAAAGTCCTGAGTTTTCTGAAGTATCTTGATTCTTTTTAAGGCTAGTTTCAGCATTTCTATGCTAACTGAGTCGAAGGCTTTCTTCATGTCTTGAAATAAGATCCAGAGTTCTTTCTTATTTTCTCTTGCATCCTCTATTATGCTGTTTAATATCTGTATAGGTCCTGCTGTTCCCTCTTCTAATAGGCCGGCATAGTTTCTCCCTTTTAAGATTTCCTTCTCCTTTAACTTTCTCCCCAGTCTGTTGTTTAGTACTCATACCACTGTTTTTCTGAACGTTTCTAATAGCAAAATAGGACGGATATTGTTGAGGTTGTAATTCCAATCTTCTCTTTTTGGAATTGGATATAACAGCCCAATTTTTCATTTTTTTGGTATTTTTTCTAGCTTAAAACATTTGTCTGCTAGCTTTCTGAATAGTTCTTCTGCAAATGCATTTACGTTTTTAATGAGTGGATAGAAGATTCCTGTAGGGTCTGGTGCAGAGGAATTCTTAGTCTGTTCTAATGCTTCCGCCCAGTCTTCACTAGTTATCCTATTGGCTAGGTCTTTATACCAATTTTCTTGAATACTTCTGACTGGCTTGTATCTTTCCTTTCACTCTCTTGGTAAATTCTTGGCTTTCGTATTTCTTTTTCTAAACTGCTTTTGGAAATGCTCTCTTACTTCTTCTAGTACTTCTTTAGGCTCATTCACCAGTTCTTGTTCCTCTTCCTTATCTGTTTTGCTTCTGAGTACTTTTTCCAGTCTTATACTTCTATGTGGCTTCTCTAATAGGCTATCTATCATTTTCCTCTGATTCTTTACCACTATTTCAAATCTTTTCTCAATAAAATCTTTGATCTTTCCTTCTTCTTCTGTGCGTCTTTCTGCTTGCCACCTTTTGTATATAATTTTCTACCATACTTCTAAGCTTTTATAGTCTCTTAAGTCGGCTAGCTCTGGTAAATCCCATTTTGCTTTGATCTTCAGTATATATCTCTCAAATTTTTCTTTTTCTTTCCATACCAGGCCTGTGTATCCTGCCTTCTTTATTTTCCTGCACCATTTGCTAAGTGTTCGAGTTTCTAGCCGTAATTTCCTTACTGTTTCGCTATGCTCTAATGCTGACTTTAGTTCTGGTAGTTTTTTCTTTTTTGGCAAAGTACTAAGTGCTGCTTTTCTTATCGATGACTCAATTATGTCCCACATGCTGTCTATATCTAGCATGTTAAAGTTTTCTTCTTCTCGTTGTATTCTTCCTCGATAAGTTGCTGCTTCTGTTCGTGTTCTTGGAGCTTCTATAATGCTCTTTATGCCTTTTCTTAATTCTTCTTCAAGCCTGGATCTATAATTCTCCCAATCTTCTTTGTTTGTTTTATCTATATCAATATTTATTTTCTTCTTGTCTATGTGTCTCATTCTTGCTTAGTTTCTTATTCTTAAGTCTATTTCTGTTTCTAGTTTGAGTACTACTGCTTTCTGTTATTAGCGACATGTCTACTGTCTTTTTTTGCATTATGCTTCTTGCCCAGAGTTTATCAACCCATATAGTATCTATTCTAGATCTTGACTTCTGATTACTCTATGTCGCTGCTTCATCTTCTGGATTCATTTCTCTCTCCACATCTACCAAGCCTATTAATTCTATCTCCTCTATGATTTTTTCTTTTGTATTTTTCTTTTTGCTTGATGCTTGGTTCATTGCAACATTGCTCAGATTTGTATTAAAGTCTCCCATTATTACAAATCTCTGTTGCTTTTTCCTGTTGCTCATATTTGTTCTTTTCTTTATATAAGTCTTTATCTGTTCATGCACCTCTTGATCATTTGGTGCTACATATATTACTATAATATTGATCGTAATTCCTTTAAAGTCTAGTACTATATCAATGCTGTATGGGCTCTCTCTGGATACCTTTGCGATGTGTTTTTCCCATTGTTTGTCGATCAGGATGCCGACTCTTTATCTTTTTTCCTTTTGTTTTTCTGCTGCTGACCAATATGCAGCGTAGTACTCTTGCTTTTTAATTAACAATCTTCCTTCTTTCTTGGGTAGATTTGTTTCTGCTATTCCTAAAATATTGATATTCTTATCTTTCATAAAATCTATAGTTGATTCTACCCTGTTTTTACATGTTTTGATGCCATTAATATTGTGGAATCCAATTTTTAGTATATTGAAGTTTTAGATCTTGTTTTTGCTTGTTATATTTCTTTTCCCCTTTCTTTCGTGTATATCTATCTGCTGATCAAAGACTTCTTTTTTCTCCTTATCATATCTATTCTGAGGGCTTCTGCAAAAGGGGCCAGTCTTCTGATCAGGTTTCGGAGATTCAACTAGGGCGCCTTTTAGGAGCGTTAAGCAGGCACTGCCTGTTCATTGCTCATGCTATCTAATCTTCTTAATATTTCTTTAAGTATCGTTTGATGCTCATCAATTCTGTTTATAATACTGGAGTCTACTTTTTGTTTATCTTGGCTTCAACTTCGCTTATTATCTTTGTGTTCTTTCCTTGTATTTGAGTCATCTCTTTCTTGTTTTTCTGTGTTTTTTCTTTCTTGTCATATGAAGTTTCTCTCTATTTTCCTTTTGTAAAGGCTGCTTTTGGTTGTCGAGATCTTCCTCTCCATGTGTCTCTTTCTGGGCTTCGTGAGCAGTTATCATATCCACATTTCTGCTCCCAATTTAATATCCAGTTATTGTACCTGACTAGCTTATTAGTTGCTTTTTCCAAATCTAATTCATTTTCAAAAGTAATAATTGCTGCTTGCTTCATTTGGCCATTTCTTTTTCTTGGAATATATACTGCCTTTGCACCTCTTTCTTTAATACAGCCTAGTAATAATGTTTCTGAAGCTCTTTCTGGGATGCCTTCTAGTTTTATGGTGTGCCTAAAACGGCTATTCATCTCTTCTCTATTTTCTTTACCTTTAGAAACTCTCGCTAACCTTCTATTTTCTAACGGTAGAACCCAAGGCAACTTGTAATCCTTTATATTAAATCCTAGCTCTACCTCTGCTACCGTTCTGAATTCTGTTTTTTTAATCTTGATGTCTTCTAGTCTACCAAATTTTTTGCACATATACTGAATTTCTTTTGTACTAGTTGATTTTGGTAGATCCCAGATAGTGATATATCTGGTGTGTTCTGTTCTGCTTTCTTCATATTGTTTTTCTTTTCTTTCTGTTTCTTCGTAAAAGTCTCTTTTTCTAAAGGCTTGCGGTTCTTCTTCTTGTTGTCTGCTTCTCTCTTTTCTATAATTATTCTCTCTGCTTCTTCGGCCAGGTTTTTGTTCTTCATTATTCAGCTCTGGAATGAGCCGAAGCCAGTTTCCTTCTTTCTTCTCAATTCTTTTAATTGCATTTGTTCTGCTATATTCGCAATCAAACTCTACTTCTATCCAACTATTTCCATTTCTAAATACCTCTTGTATTGATTTCATATGTTTGTCTTTGCTTAAGATACCTTCTAAGTTTGCGACTCTTTCTTCAGGTGTATTCCCTGGTACTTTGCGCATATGCTTTTGCAATAAATGATTTATCACCTTCACATATTCTGTTATTTAATGATCACATGCTGCATTCTATTGGGTCGTATGCTATCTCTGCTAACGAGTTTTGCTGATCTCTTTTTCCAATTTCTTGTATCTCTTTTCTAATGCTTTTAATCTTATCTCTCGCAATTCTTTTTATTGGTTCTTCTTTATCTTTTTTAGTTTTTTTCACTTCAATTCCTTTCTCTTTAAGCCAGTTATATGAGCTTGCGCCTGGGTCTGAGATTACTATAATTTCTGTTTGTTCATCTCCCGTTCTCTCACTCTCAGTTTGTTGTATTGGTTCTTCTACATTTTCTTCTTTTGATTCTATCTTTTCTTCCGATTCTTCTTCTTGTCTTCTTTTTTTCGATTTTTCTATTTGCATATTTTCTTCTTCTTCTGTTTTTACAATTCCTTCCATTCAGATAGCTCAAAAGAGCTGTAACCTGCTTCTGGTCTCCACGGTTGGGACCTTTTCTTTTGATTACTCTTTAGCAGCTTGGTTGGTAGAATGCTTTGCCAAACACTTTGGTTCTATTTAGTTTTCTGGTTTTATGATTGATAATCCTTTACATAGTATCATCAAAGATTTGTACTACCTCTCTATTCAGATCTTGCCAAGCGGACTTCTGTGTACACCGACCTCAAATTTATATGACTGCTTCATTTGGATTTTGTATAACTTGTACATTATACTATTATTTCACAGTCTCCCAGTATGAGCTGGTATGACCTAGTTACAAATATCGATCTGCCTTTATACTCACAGTTGCTGTAATACTGTACTGAAAATTTGAATTTTTTGTCACAAGTGAGATTTGAACTCTGTTTCTGCTACTTGGGGATGCGACAACTTCACCACTTCACTAAGTTGCTACACCCTGGCTAAACAAATTTACTTAGTGTATTAAGTTAGAATTAATTAATAAATTTTTGAGAAATATAAGATTTTATAGAATTTTATTAATAAAATTTTACAAAATCTTATAATTTACAAGATTTTTCTAATTAATTCTAACTTTATATATTAATTAAATTTGTTTAGCACCTAAAAATACCTTAAATTAGTAGAATTATTTTTATTTTACTTGAAATTTAGAGCAAAGATGCTTAATTTTAGATTTTTTGATCAATAATCTAAAATTAAGCATTTTATTTTCAAATTTCAAATAAAATAAAAACAACTTTGCTGTTTTAATGTATTTTTAGATACTAAACAAATTTAGACTTTACTAATAAATTCTAACTTAATTTACTAATTAAATTTGTTTAGCATCTAAAAATACATTAAATCAGAAGAGTTATTATATTTAAAATTTGAAGCGAATATGCTTAATTTTGAATTTTTGATCAAAAATTTAAAATTAAGCATATTCGCTTCAAATTTTAAGTACAATAAAAATAACTCTACTGGTTTAATGTATTTTTAGATACTAAACAAATTTAATTAGTGTATAAAGTAGTAAAATTTTGAGAAATATAAGATTTTGTAGAATTTTATTAATAAAATTTTACAAAATCTTATGATTATCAAAAATTTACTAATTAATTTTAAATTTATATACTAATTAAATTTGCTCAGTAGACGACAACTCTTTCTGACGATCACTTGGACACAAAAACAAGCAGAAGCAAAAGTGACAAAAACTCAACAAAAGCTATAGAAAACATTTCAAGTAACTCTAACAAAAGAGAAAGAGCAACAAAATTAACAGGTAGTGAGCTTAGAAAGCAGCAAAGAGAAACCTATACAAAGCAAGCTATCCAAGAAAAACAAAATTTGCAAAGAAATTTTGGAAAAAAGAGGATATTGGTCGAACTCCGAACACAGATCACGGATAGTCACGTAAACAAACAAACACGTCTAGAATAGGCCAAAACAAAGTAAAAGCACACGTGCAAAGCAAAACAACAACAACAAAGTCACGTATAAAGAACAAATAGAATTGTCAATAGAAACTTCCAGAAAATTAGATTAGATTATCAAACAACATAGCAAAGATAGATTATCAACAGAATTAATAAATAACACAGTATGGCAAAGATGATCCTTTACGACTTTATAGAGAGTAGATGTGTAGCAGAATCAAGATACATGATGGATACACAACTAGAAAAACTCATTAAGGAAGTTTCAGTTAGTGCACCAAATGATATAGAATATATAGCAAGAAGTTTAACGATAAAGGATTTAGACAAGATCACAAACTCAGAATTAATTGTATATGGAAGATTATGTACAGCATTAAGTGAAGCTGAATGCAGAAGAATAGAAGAAGGCCAAATAGAAAAGTGGGCTATTAAGGCCAGATGGGTAAACTAAAACTCGAAATCAATTGAATGCATGGCCGAAATGAGCAAAAAAGAAATTAGAAAAAGAATTAACAAAATAGAAGGAATTACAAAAATAAAAGAAGAAGAAAATATGCAGATAGAAGAATCGAAAAAAAGAAAGAACCAGAAAAAAAGGTAGAATTGAAAGAAAGAAATGCAGAAGAACCAATACAACAAACTGAAAGTGAAAGAAAGAGAGATGAACAAACAGAAATTATAGTAATTTTAGACTCAGATGCGAGTTTATATAACTGGCTTAAAGAAAAAAATTGAAGTGAAAAAGGTTAAGAAAGACAAAGAAGCACTAATAGAAAGCATTGCGAGATAAAATCAAAAGCATTAGAAAGAAGATACAAGAAATAGAAAAAAAAGACTAGCAAGACTTGTTAGCAGAGATAGTATGCAACCTAATAGAATGTAGTATGTGGTCTCCAAATAACAGAACATACGAAGGTGATAAATTATTCTTTGCAAAAGCACATGTATGCAAAGTACCAGGAAATATACTGAAAGAAAGAATCGCAAATTTAGAAGGTATTCTAAGCAAAGACAAACATATGAAATCAATATAAGAGATATTCAGAAATAGAAATAATTAGATAGAAATAGAGTTTGACTACAAATATAGCAGTATAAATGCAATTAAAAAAATTAAGAAGAAAGAAGAAGACTAGCTTTAGCTCATTCCAGATTTGGACAATGAAGAACAGGAACCTGTCAGAAAAAGTAGAGAGAATAATTATAAAAAAGAGAGAAATAGGTGACAAGAAGAAGAATCACAAACTCCCAGAAAAAGAAATCCATATGAAGAAACAGAAAGAAAAAGAAAACAATATGAAGAAGGCAGAACAGAACACACCAGATATATTACTATTTGGGATCTACCAAAATCAATTAGCACAAAAGAAGTTTAGTATATATGCAAAAAATTTGGTAGACTAGAGGACATCAAGATTAAAAGAACAGAATTTAGAACAGTAGCAGAGGTAGAGCTAGGATTTAACAGGAAAGATACAAACTGCCCTAGGTTTTACCATTAGAAAATGGAAGGTTAGTGTGAGTTTCTAAAGATAAAGAAAATAGAAAAGAAATAAGTAGCTGCTTTAGATACACCATAAAACTAAAAGATATTGCAGAAGGAGCTTCAGAAACATTACTATTAGGCTGTGTTAAAGAAAGAGAAGCAAAGGCAGTATATATTTTAAGAAAAAGAAATGGCTGGATGAAGCAAGCAGCAATCATCACTTTTGAAAATAAGACAGATTTGGAAAAGCAATTTGTAAACCAGTCAGATGCAATAACTGGATACTGAACTGGGAGCAGGAGTGCAGATATGATAACTACTTATGAAGCCCAGAAAGAGATACATGGAGAGGAAGATCTCAACAACCAAAAGCAGCCTTTACAAAAGGAAAATTAATAGAAACATTGTATAACAAGAAGGAAGAAAATACAGAAAGGCAAGAAAGAGATAATTTAAATACAAGAGAAAAACACAGATAAAAACGAAGTCGAAGCCAAGATAACCAAAAAGTAGACTCTAATATTATAAACAAAATTGATAAGCATCAAATGATACTTAAAGAAATATTAAAAAGACTAGACAGTATAAGCAATGAGTAGGCAGTGCCTGCTCAACACTTCTAAAAGCCACCCTAGTTGAATTTTGGAAAACTGATTAGAAGACTGGCCCCTTTCACAAAGGCTCTCAGAATAGACACAACAAAGAGAAGAAAGAAGTCTTTGATCAGCAAATAGATATATATGAAAGAAAGGTGAAAAGAAATATAACAAGCAAAGACAAGATCCAAAACTTCAATATACTAAAAGGTGGATTCTACAATATTAACGACATCAAAACATACAAAAACAAGATAGAGTCAATTATAGATATGAAAGATAAGAATATTAATATTTTAGAAATAGCAGAAACAAACCTATCTGAAAAGAAAGAGAGATTTTTAATTAAAAAGCAAGAGTACTATGCTGCATATTGGTTAGCAGCAGAAGAACAAAAGAAAAAAAGAATCAGAAGTTAGCATCCTGATTGACAAACAATGGGAAAAACATGTGTGTCTAATTGCTAATTGAAGACTTCTTTTTT